TTAACAGTATTTTTTATCAATCAAACTTACTAACATTACACTAAAAGAATGTTTGTTTAAATATTTATTGTAATTCAATTACACATTAACCTTTGGACGTGTTCTTATGAAATTTTGCATAAAATTCATGTAGTACAACAACAATATTATTTAATAATATAACCGCAAACAAATGTCAATTCACTGAGTTTCATTCACCTGGTTTTCATTTAAGTGAAAAACTAAATATTAAGCCTATTTCACAATTAAAACTCTGTGTTTGTTGTTTAACAGGGGATCTGCTACTTATTAAACTCGATAACTGAAAACATGCTGCAACAACTTCTTATTTATTTTATTTGAAAATAAGTGGTTCAGTGGGATTTGCGCAGATGCTGAGCGCCATTTTGACGTACAGTAATACTACCACAGCCTATTTTATGTGCGGTCAACCAGACGACTTCAATATTATCTTCCGGCCAGACGAAGCTTTGAAAATGCGTACCTTTGTAAAACTGCCCTACAATAACAGTAATAAACAAATAAACTACTCAACGAGATAAATATATTGAGTGCAAAGAACATACTAAATAATATTTAATAAAGAAACAGCGAAACGGGCGTAATAGACAGTGTAAGATAATATTGAATTAAATACATTTTAAATGTATGTGTTATAATTAATTTTTTTAAATTTATCAATCAAAAAACTAATTCAACTATAAATTTGCCATAAAATATACGCAATATTTACTTAAATATCAAAATCCTGAAAACCAAGCGGATAATGTGATTTACGTATAACTCGTGCAGGTTGTTGGCTTTTAGGGGCGATTGAAGCACGGCGAGCCCCTAACGATGTTGCTGTATTTACCACACTATGTGTTCCAGGAAGCACGGAAAAGCGCCTGTAAGATTTAAAATAGAGTTTTTTATGAAATATATCTATTTTCTATGTCACCTAATCAAGGTAGGACAGACAGCAATCTATTACTATTATTTGGTATTTCATAGTTTAAAAAGAATTAAATGAATAAATATGAATTAATTAACTTCGCAACATCGATAACGGTTAGAGGATATAAGGTTCTCGAGAGGTAAACTCGTTATGACTTATAACGTAGTGATAAACTTAGTAAGACTATTCTTCATGCAGAAAAATCAACTGTGATAGGTCACTATAAGTTAGTAATATTTAAAAATATAAACATAGGTTCAAAGTCAATTTTGCCTCACCATATATTTTAACACTCTGCAAACAAAACAATTCCTTCAATATAAATACCAAATTACTTTCATCTGAAATGCTGCATTAAATTTTTAACGGTTTTTCTTGCTTTATGCATAAATCACCTACAGTGAGCTCTCAGTTGATGTGCCCTCAACAATGGCACATCATTTTTATACATGTAATATTATTATGTATCTGCAAAAATAGGAATACCATGAATCTCCCGATGTTTCGTGTCAAACATGTATGTATGTATATATATGTATATGTGTATGTGTATGTATGTATATGTGTTTGTATGATATATATATATATATATATATATAAATTACATGTTATTATTTTTGTTATATCTTAGTTATTTGAACACCAGTTTTTTATATACTAAAATTCAATTCTCAATCTGATATTAGTTATGCATTGGACAGAATGTCTCCTTCTGAGGCTGTCTTAAGCTCATCAGAAAATTGTATGCGATTACTAACCTATAAGCGCTACAGAAATTATTGCAATTCTTTGCTCAAGAGTGTTAATCCGGCGAGCATGAGGTTAAAAAAAGTTACATCGAGAATGTGGCAGGGTGGGACATACCCATAATTTAATGTACCATATTTAAGTTCTTATTATTATTATTATTACTTTGATGATTTTATTATGTAAAATAATGAATGATTTAATAGAATTAAATGAAACAAGTTCTTAATTGTGAAATTATTATTATATAATCATGTTTTTCGTAAACTTTGTAATTAAATAAACAAAAGTTTAAAGACTTACAAAAATTTATAATTTAACAAAAATATTATTCTTTGGAGTGTAAATCAACTTAAAATTAAAACATAGTGAGATCCTCTTGTAAAACACTTATTATTGATTTTTTTAATTAAATATTATGATTAATCACCACTGTCGAGATCAGCACAATTTTCGCAAATAAATTTTGGGGGCTCCATACATATGGGCTTGGCACAAGCATTCCAGGAATATTTGGTTTTTCTATCCTTCTTGTATGGACAATCTTGGCATTTATCGCCCGGGTATATTCACATATCTAGGCGAGGGCTCACTGAACTGTTTTAAGATTTGCTGGCGGATGTAGCTTAGAATATGCTTTTTTGATTTTCTTGAATGTAGGTGTTCGTAAATCACGAATTAAAAAAAAATATTAATCACGAAAAAAAATAAAATTACGAATGGATTCCGTTCTCTTTATTGTGACGTTTTTGTTTGCTCAATATAAATATAATGCAAGCATTAAAAGCTGTCATGTTCAAGACACCACAGAATAAAGTCGTAGCCCATCGTTTACTGTTGCGACTAACATAACACAGTATAAATGAATGAACAACAAATTTATATACTAAAATCATCAAAGAAAAAACTAATAAAACAATCATAATTCATGATCAAATCATTACGTAAAAAAATACGTCAAAAATGAGGCAGGGTATAATATACCCGAGACAGGTTTGCCCACGAATATATCGGCCAGTGTTCCACGCCACACTGCGATCACGCCACTAACCCGCAACAAAGACATCCTAGTGCCTCCTCTGACATTTATTATCAACTTGTGTTTGACGGTAGGTGTTTTTCCGAGGGTGCTGAAAAAAGCTGTGGTTCATCCAATTTACAAAAATGGCGATCAAAGTCTACCTTATAACTATCGTCCTATATCAATACTGCCCTCGATCTCTAAGGTTTTTGAAAAAATCATAAATTCTAGACTAGTGAACTACCTTGAGAAAAAGAATTTATTATCAAATTTCCAGTTCGGTTTTCGTGCAAAAAATCGACAACAGATGCTTTACTTTCGGTTACCAACTACATTACGCAAAACTTCGATAGGGGTAGAAAGAGTTTAGCCATCTTTCTCGATCTACAGAAAGCTTTTGACACCGTCTTAATTTCACTGTTGCTGCAAAAGCTTGAGGATATTGGCGTGCGAGGCTGTCAACTTACATTATTTTCTAGCTATCTCAGTGGCAAATTGTCTAATAGTGTCATCAGCTCTGATTCTCCTGTCTTTTTTTGGTGTTCCTCAGGGCAGTACACTTGGTCCGACCCTATTTCTCATTTTATTAATGATTTGTGTAACCTTAATCTTCACAATGGCAAGATAATTACTCCTTTTCTCTGGAACCACCTGGGAGGATGTTTTCCGACAATCTCAGGTTGGGTTTAATATGGTATGTGCTTGGCTTAGGAAGAACTTACTAACTCTAAGTTGTAAGAAAACTAAATATATGCCTTTTGCAATCCGTACCTCATCCTTACCTAGAGACGTGCATAAAATCATTGCTCACTGTTGTGGTAATCCTAACACTTTACAATGTACCTGTCCCGTTTTGGAGAAGACTAATAGTATCAAGTATCTTGGCATATTATTTGACAACACCTTAACATTCCGTTCTCATATTAAAACACTATGTGGTAGAGTGCGTAAATTGATTTTTATATTTAAAAATTAAGACATCTTGCTAGCACAGAAGTCCTAAAATTGGCCTATTATGCCTTGTATCAATCTTTATTAACATACGGAATTGAAGTCTGGGGTGGAACAGCCAAAACACATATTATTGAACTAGAGCGTGCGCAAAGATCACTTTTAAAAGTTATGAATTTTAAATCTCACTTATATCCAACTTTAGATTTGTATAGAATTAGCGAAGTTCTTACATTTCGACAACTATTTGTGCTACATATAGTTTTAAGACAACATACAATTTCAAAAATAACTCAAAAGGAACATTGCCGCCGTAATCATCTGGTAGCTCAGTCAGTGCCTTGCTTCACGTTTTTTGCTAGGAAATTCTTTACTTTTTTGGGCCCGTATTCATATACTCGTAATAAATAACTCCAAATATTGTCTATTTATGAAGTCAACAGATGGTCATGTAAAAATAGACTCGTGGAATATCTTCAGACTCTTTCGTACACAGATACCGAACAATTACTCCAAATTATCTCATAAAAATTTACAGACACACGCAGACATGCTAACAGTAACAAACTCTCGTACTTACGCTACAAAAATACGTGGTTTTTATTTTTATTATTTTTGTTTTATATTTTATATTTTTTATTTCTATGTATATATAATATTATTTCTAACCATAACATAAGTGATCTCTGTATAATATTATACTTATTACCAAGTAAATTTGGGGGGAGGCCTGGTGACCTGTTATACGGGTCTTTGAACCTACACAGGCACCAGTCTCGCATGAATGACATAATATTGTTAAAATAGAGATGTAACACTAATGTGGATGGAAGATCCATGTCGTTTGTGGTGAGAAATAAATAAATTATTATTATTATTGAATTATTATTATTGTTACGAGCTTAAGGTTCGTGACAATAAAAACTGCCGATTGAATTACCAAAATTTACACTTTTATTACCGAACACCAATTAAAACACTAATAATTAATCACACTGATTTATTTCGGACCGACGCTTCGCTTGTCTCGCCAAATTCAATACTGCCTCGATCGCGTCTTGCCGCGCCTTTCTATACACCCTTTTCACCGAAACATCCAGAATATTCCGGTAGATACCGGCGCCGACCGATGCGACGCAGAAAGTTCGAGTGTGGGGCTTCTAGAAAGCTTAATTCTTCTGTTCGATACTGGATGGCGCTGTTGGTCGAAAGTCAAGATTGACATTTTCTAGGAAGCCCTCCTCGCTCTGTTCTCTGACACTAGACAGCGCTAGTGCCAGGTACCTGACGTCAACTTAGGCGCGCAACATTATTATTATAGGTTCTCATAATTTTAAACAAGAACTACCTGGAAGCGGGTATGACAGACATTCGCTTAAATAAGTGTTTAGCGGCAGACCGCAAGTCATCATCTTGCATCAATCTGATCATTTCCTTCTCACGTTTCTCAAGTAAAGCTTCTGTAGAACCCACTTCACCTTCTGTTGATACATTAACACACTGCAATAAATATTTTTTAATCAATCCTTGAACTATATTATAATATCATATTTTCATTGAAACAAACAATAGTTTTATGGTACCGTCTCGAAGAATGTAGCAACATCTTGAATACCAAAAGAACGAGCTAGCGCCGCTCCCTCAATTAAAGCTGCTCTCGCCTCAGGCCGATTATTCTGGAGTAAATGGCATCGAGCCAGTAGAAATGAAGTATTTATTAACCAGATACGCTGATCTGCCGTACGGGCCTCTGTAAAATTGAACAATATTGTATTTAAAAATAGTATTGAAGCACTGACCATTAATAAATTCTATGGTAATAGTATATTTTATTAAAAATTATATTTACCAGATTGACATTTAAGAGCAAAAAATCTAGCTTTATGTGCTTGTTTAGTATCGACATAAATTCGAGACAATTCATGGAGCACGTAACAACGTTCCGATGGACAACCATGCAGAGAGAGCGAGCGCTCTAAAGCTCGTAAACGACGTCTGAAACACCAAAAGTTTTGGTTGATCAAAAACATATAGATTCACTCATAGTCACCATTATTCATCATCATCATTACAGTCCTTCACAAATTCGCAGCTGAACATAGGCCTTCCCCAAGGAATGTCAAAAAGCACGGTCCTGAGCCACCTGTATCCATCGACTTCTTGCATGCCTTACCAGGACGTCACTCCATCAAGTGGTAGGTTGCCCTAAACTTTACCTGCCGGTACGAGGCTGCCATTCAAGAACCTTTTTAACCGCGGCTTAGAAGGGAAATCGGTCCGTAGTTCTTCAAGAGAGCGTTGTCACCTTTCTTGAAGAACTATACCACCGCACTTTTGTTCCACGTCTCCGGAGCAGTGCCACCATGGAGGACGGAATTAAAGAGTTTCTGAAGGATTTCAAGTACCAATTTTCCACAGAAGATCCATTGTAATTCCAACCTCGCCCGAGGTTTTGCCGTTTTAGGTGCTGGAGTGACATTTTAATCTCGCTCAGACTGACGTCCGGGATATCGTCAGAATAGTGATGGATAAGACTTGCTCTTGGATCGTTATTAACACTCGTGTGACTCGCGTGTGTATCCAATGATGACTTGTACGGTTGTCCATAGAATCTGTCAATCTCACTCAAAATCTCAAGTGTCCCGGAAACGATGCTGCCACATTCGGTCTTCGGCAAACATATCTCTGGAAAAGACTTTGAAGCTCTCTTCCCGCACTATCGCTTCTTCAATACGAGCGGTATTGAAGTTCCGTAAATCCCGCCGCATGTATTTGGAGATCGGTTAAGTTCCTTTTATGCAGTAAAATTTGCTGAGGACTGCAGTTTCATCTCCGATCTAACAACAACGAGATTAAAAGTGTGATCAGAGAGTTTTTATATTCTTCTGCGGCGGGTTTTGCAGAACTTAGTTCCGATCGCATGGACAGTTTTCACGAGCTTGCCATTCGTTTCTTCCACTGTATTGCAGTCTTCTAGGCATTGAAAATGGTTTTGTAATTTTCGGGACCCTGGATTAGCGCACGAGGGGAACGAAGCATTGACGTCAAGGGACGAGAACTCTCCAACTAAATGTTTTGGTTCAGTGTGCCTCTTACCATTCGGTGACTGTTGTCAGATTTCACCCTTGCTCGGTCGCACATCACTGAGACATCACTGAACAGTTGGTGTCTGGTCGTCATAATGAAATCAATCTCATTTTTTGTCGAACCGTTGGGGCTCGATCAGGTCCACTTTCTATGGAGACCACTTCTGGAAAAATAGTTTATCATAAAGAGTCCCTCTTTCTCCATGAAGTCAGCCAGCTGCTGGCCCTTTGGGTTCCGTTGCCCTATTTCAAATTTCACTACCTTTAGCTCACCGCTTTCTCTTGTGCCTAGTTTTGCGTTGCCGTCTCCCATCTACACCGTATAGTGGATTTTTGAGGAATGCATGTCTCTAGGGATATCCTCATACATTTTCTTCACTTCCTCATGGCTGAGATTGGTGCGTAAATCCGTATGACCTTCAGCGAATACCTTTTGGTGATTTTAATTATTAGGTACGCAACCCTCGTTGCCAAACAACGTTGTGGACGAGAGACTTGTAGACGATAAATCCGACACCTCCTTAGGACAGGTGGTCACCTTGCTGGCTCGTCGCTCCTCCCTTCTCTTCGGACCTCGGATAATCCTATAACATGCCAGCGCAACTTGTCTACCTCTTCTTTCCGCTCTAGGATCTTCTCGTTAGTCCTCAGGGTGCGTGCGTTATATGTTGCCAGTCAAGTCGTTTTAGTTGGCAACTGAATCTCCACCAAAGATTTTTAACACCCCTGCCCCGCCGATACCATGGTTGCCACTGTAGCCAGGAATAGCGTGGTCGCCGGGGACTGGGGCCGTTTGTTAGTGCCGTTGCTCATGGGGGATGTTTTCCATAGTTGGCTCGCTTGGTGAGCGGGTTGGCAACCGCAGAATTTATAGTATATTGCTATGCTATTGCTGCGCATCTTCTACCTGCCCAACTCTGTCACTGCTTACGACAACCATGTGAAGATATGGCGTAGTGAATATTCCCTACCTCCACTACAGGTCAAACTACTGCACCCATACTGGTGTTACGAGCTTGAGTTTTATTCCAGAACACCAATTAAAACTTAAAACACTAATAATTAACCACAGTGATTCACTTTATTTCGCTCCGAAGTTCTCTTGTCTCGCCAAATTAAATACTGCCTCGATCGCGTCTTGCAGCACCTTTAAATACACATTTTTCACCGAAACATCCAGAATATTCAAGTAAATACGCTCGCCAACCGAACAGGCGCAGAAAGTTTGAGTGTGGGGCTTCCAGAAAGCTTAATTCTTCTGTTCGATACTAGATGGTGCTGTTGGTCGAAAGTCAAGATTCACATTTTCTAGGAAGCCCTCCTCGTTCTGGTCCCTGACACTAGACGGCGCCAGCTCCAGGTACCTGACGTCAACTTAGGCGCGCAACACTAGATTACTTAGATTCATCCATACTACTTACGAAATATTTACAGAAATTATTTCTTAATACATTATTATTTTAAAAATTATTACGTTACGTCACGAGGCGGTGCCATTGGTCTTGAACGTAAAATTGAATCATTGCTTGGTTCACGAGATACAGAAATTCCCAATAAAACAAATGCTCGTTTCTCACGATCCACTTCACTCATTTTTTCTTTTATTCTTTTCTAGAATAAAAAAGTAAATAATGCAGAATAAGTACTCTCTCTTTGTGTCATGCTTGACGGCTTATTTATTGTACATAAGACATCAAGACATGACAAAAATTCACCTATAATAGAAGATGACCATATTAAAACATTAGAACATTTACTCTTGCAATATCTAATAAAACTAAATCACCTTAATTTTAACACCTTAACATCTTATCTGGTGTAAAGATAGTACATAAATAGTTTATAAAATTAATCAATTATTGATAATTACCTGATCTAAGAAAACGTGAGCAACGAAGTCATACAGCTCCAGTAAGTACTTTTCTTTTTCTGGGAGTAAATTTGCTGGCTTTCTTGTTATCTGTTCCATCGCAAATTCAGCGGCTTCTAAACATCTTGCTAAATCGTGTTCTTCAAATATTGCTTTAGCTGTTTGTATAAGACGTCTTGCATCTACAGCATGCTGTTTTTGAGCATGACCAAGCCTTTCTTTACGGGCCCGGGAAAGCCTGGCTCGTGCTGCTGCTTCTGCTGCACGTGCAGCATACAATGGTCGTCTTTCACGTAGTACAGCCTGTACGATAACAAACAATATTGCCCCTATCCTATAATGTACATTGAATTCTAAAACAAACATCTTTGAATAAAGTTTGACTTTCCTTTTAATTCATAAGTATTATACTAAATTCGCTTATTTACTATTGAAATAACTCTATTTCTCTTATAAAATTTACTCTATTTTTGCAATATTAATTCTGTTGTTGGTACTGATATTTTCATTAATTAATTAATTTTATTATCATGATGTTATTTACTCTATCGACAACACGTTCACCTGGTTCAAATCTTAGCCTGATCCAGAATTATTTGCAACCAATAACAAATCTTATCTCGTAAACATTACGCCAGACTTGGGGTCGATCGATCGTACAAGTGTGTTTGTGTATAAGTGGCATTGTAATATATTTAGTGTAAACGATAGCTTCTGATTAATTATTCTCAAGTTGTTCAAAGTTGAAAATTGACTATACTGACTTTTCTTAATTATGTTTATATGATGATTCATAACGCTTTTTTGCTTATAAATACAAAATATGTGTTTAAAAGGAATTAAAGTAATGCATACATACTTGTCGCTTTTCTATATCACAACGAGCTTTGTTAGCCAATTCATGTAGTATTTTTGATCCCTTCTTGTTTGCTGATGTCAGTCTCTCATCCTTACAAAGAGAAATTAAAAAATGTTTGTCATGGGCCATTTGCTCTAAATATTTGGAAGCCATTAGCCGTGATATATTTTCCGATTTTTGTTTTTCAAGTCTGGATAATTCTTGAACCTATAAATGAATGGCAGATCATTGATAATAAGAATTGGTAATGACTGTGGTAATTCTGACAAGCTTTGTTGAGGATCGCTTCTGTCATTACATAAAATTTGATAGACTACACAATCTCGCCAAAGAAAGCCGATTTCAATCAAAGAAATGAAACTAAAAACATTCTAATATTAATATTACATATTATAGCAACCCGCATCCTCTTATTAATAAGAGGATGCGGGTTGCTATCATCTGCTTTGTAAACTATAATTTAATCTATATCCCCAGCATAAAAGTGCAAGACTTCAAGATAGTACAAGTTCTTTTGGCTTAGGTCCGACCACAAATCTGACCATCTGTGCTATATAATACTCGAAACACAAAGAATGTATATATAATTCAGTTAATTAAACTAGATAAAATCCGTACAATCTAGTTTTATTCAATACTTATCTTTGAGTGAATGTAATAGAAAAAAATTATTAAGCTCAATGTGACAGAATATCGTTGAAATAGTAACATTAAAATTAATTATAAACCGATGATGTGTGCACTGTGCAGCTTCACTTGTGGGAGAGTTTTTCGCTCACCAACGGCATTATGAGTCTGGCTTTATCAAGATAACAAACGCTAAATGGCAAATTGTTTAAGTTCAAATATCGAATGTGTTGTTGCTAGAGTCACTGTGAATTTTTTATAAAATTTACAAATCGTTATCTGTCAAAACAAATAAAAAAAAACGAATAAGGTATAAAGTAGTGATAATCAACTCCACAGAGTCAGTAATTCATTCTTGGGGTGATGTATACACTTTTAGAATAAAATCCCAGAAAATATACAAAATTTTACTCAAGCCTAGCTTAAAACTTTAATAAACAAAGTTGTATAAAAAGGATCATTACAATATTAAGGAATATGTGGATGATAATAACCTCTGGGAATAAGGTGATCGCTACCATGCTATTTCTAATTTGTTTTGTGTTGTTAATTATTGTTTTACTTTAATGATTCTAAACTGGTTCTTTACTTTAATAAAAAATCCCGTCGGGTTTCTTGATAATTCTGTCCAGAAGAGGCATTTCCCAAATCAGTATAAAAATTAGCGTAAGAGTGACTTTCAACATGATTTCAACAAGTATTTTGTAGTATGTATGTTGTTCTGTATTGAATAAAAAAAAATTATTACTATTATACCTGCTGTGTAGGTTCTTTTTGCATTCTACCTTCACGAACAACGATTTTTGGTTCAAAAATATCATCCCCAAACCGATCTTGTTTTATCTGTATTTCATTCGACATAGAAATTGCCGCTTTCATTACCTTCGTTGCGCTAGCCGCGGAGCATTCCCGAACCTAGTTGTTTCAAAAGACAAATAGTTTAGTGTTATAAACTTCGACTAATTTGTACTATGAACTTGTGTATTTCAAACATTAAGATAAATATAGAAATGCCAGATTTGTGACATTTCAAGATATTAGGTTTGTAGTGAATTGAGTTTTTGTAATCATGGGATCCTTAGTCGATGATACCATCCCTACTACTCTTGAGAAATAGTAAATCCAATAACTACTATAGCCTCCGAAGTCATTATTATCCATCTTTGGTAATAATCGATTTTATTTAACGAAACTTTGTGGTTTGCATTGTACTCATTTAATGCACAATAAATGTGCGTACATGTTACACTATATAACTATTTTATGTAATTTTATAATATTGCGGTCACCTCGTTTTTTGGCTCTAGAAAATCGAAAAACCATCCGATTGCGATGAAATGTTTTTAATCTTTGTCTTTACAGCGGATTTATGGAAAAAGTTATGATAAATATCTCACCTCAAGATTTCATATGTTTTTATGGCTTTAAACGTGATCATACTCGTAAACGTACTTCTTCGAGTATAATCGTACATAACTTTTTTGCAAAGCGTTAAACGAAGTTTGTATATTTTTATTGTTAATCTACACAAAAAAAACGAACATTTAAAAAAAGTATTGAAAATGTTTGTTTATAAATTTTTTATCTCACTTTAAGTTTTTGACTTAAAATGTTATATACGTTATAAACGCTCTAGAAAATCGAAAAATCCTCCGATTTCGATGAGTTTTTTTTTAAATCTTCATTTTTACGGAAAAGACCAAAATGAAAAGAATTAACTATGTATTATATTCAAAAATAAATCAATAACTTATGTTACCCTCGAAAAAATCTTGTAACAAAGTAAAAAATATTATGCAATCTTTGACAGTGATTGCTACATCTTAATCTAAACAGTGCACATTTTAAATAAATTGACAAAAAAGTTTTGAAAGAAAAAATCACATAGTATTGTTTATTTATTAATTTTTAACGAAACGAGCTCGGGACTTAGGGCATCCCGACTCAGACAGGTTAGGTTAAAAGGAGATGGCGGGGCAAGTAAGCGAGCGAAGCGAGTGTATACATAGACCCTGCCATCCGTGACCGCGATAGTATAAAATTACCCTATTTTAGTCTACGCATCTTCATGACAATAATTGTTTCCTTGACACTGCTGCAGATATTTTTTGTAGATCATATTACTTGATGGGTATGTATGCTCCATAACCGCCTTTGAACTTCATCATAACTTCCAACCATTATAAAAATATCTCAATTCTACAGATAATTATGGGTAATACAATTTGAATAACTTTTAAAAAAAATCCTAAACTAGCATAATATAGAACAGACACCCCGAACCAAAAGTTTGCTTCATATTGGTAAGAGTTAGAACTAAAGTTCGCTGCAGCGCTAAAATAATAGTTACGTTGTCTAACCAAACTATTAAAACATGCAGCGCTAGTGTGCATTAGGGATTCGTTTTCTGGCGACCAAAACGTGCCAGGTATTTCATGGCGCTTACGCGTATCGTTCAATGTAGTGTACAAGTCGCTGTCATAGATTTTACAATTTATCCGATTCTCGTGAGCATTGTAACAACGCGAAAAACTTTAAATAAAAGAGTTTTAAACGTTTTAATGTCTGCTTACCGATGAAATGTTAAACCAACACTTTTTTGATGTATTGAAGTGTTTACTACAGTCTTTAAGGACATAACTAGGCATTTTGAAGTTGTTATTTATAGGAAGCGAACACGACTCGTCTCTCGGTTCGGTCTCTCGACTCGGCGTTGGACACTCACTAAACAGTTGCAATATAGTGTACCGCAAAGCGTGGCGCAAAATTATGCAAGGCGTTGTCTTCTCTATACGCAGTAGTAATAACTCAATGATTTTTATATGATATTATATTTAAGTTATGTAGTTAGTTTGGTAGTTAATTTTAGGAGGTAGAGCCACTTTGCAAGTATATTACGGTTGTAGCAAGAATGGATCGGTTCGACCAGGGTAGGACCACGCTCTCATAGAACTCCAGCGTAATAAAGCTGCTTAATGCTGTTGTTTCGTATGGTGAGTATAGAGAACCGAAAACTCTTTTTACTGGAAACGAGGTATTCCGTGTTAGTCCTCAGATGTGGCAACGCGTCTGTATTTTGATTATTAAAACGATGATAAATGTAGATGTCTCTGGGTTACACAGCATCCACTTATCATCAGGTGGTCTCTGTGCTTATATGTCACACTCATTCTATAAAAAAACTACTTACCATCAAATGAACTGTGTACTCGTTTGCCCTGTGAAAATGTAAAATTTTAATTATTGGTATTATTTTTTAGGTATGGAGGATTTAAAAGTGTTTAGATAGGTTCGTGAAAATACATACTTTACCAGTGACTCGCTCTTTTCATTTCCGACCTTGGGTGACTCACTGGCGTGTGTCTATATTATGTTTTGAATGTTGTAATTGAGGCCCAAATAGAATATTTAAGTGCGTTCGTGTATGACGATAATTCTCACACCGGCGTTTATTACTGATGATGTAAACTACGTAGCACTTGGCCGAAGTGTTTTGTTCAGATATTTATAATTTGTACAGTAAGGGATTTAAAGTAATTTGCCTACATTAGATTTTGAATACAGTAATACATATGTCATTTTGGGTAGTTAATCTTGAGATTCATCATAGTAACCAATAAAGATGGAGGTATTGATCTCTATTACACCAAACCACTAAACCAAACCGACTTATTACTGAGTGAAGTAAGGCAGGCTTGATATAAAATACATTATCGTTCATAATTTTTAACTTTTTTTCCATATTTGAATTTTTTATATCTCAATCTATTATAAATCAGTACAAAAATTATTAAAATCATACCGTTTCCTCAGCACATCTGGCGCATTCGGCAAATTTCGGTGGAAATATTCTAATTTGTTGCCCACGGTGGGCAAGAATTAGAGACCGCTCAAAAGCACATTTTTCATATTCAGTTTGAGCTTTTATTTGAAGTGCTGTTAAGTTTTCCGGTTCTAGTTCTATAAACAATAAGAAACAAACAATTTAAAGCAGGTGTATGCTGTTTGTGCTGAAATATGTTTATATCCGTATTTGTAGCACTCGTTATATTATAATTTTTATCATGCGTATTATTAGCTACGAAATAATGAACGCATTAAAGCATATAATTTTTTAAGTATCACAATTTCAGATTTTCTAAAGAACTGCAGTCAAGAAGAATTGTACTTCTACAAGATTTCAATTGAAAAGTGATGTACATTCTGAAAATACAAGGAACAAGCACCGGCTATTAATATCAGTTACTCGACTCCAAAGATTCAGTAATTCCTTCATGGGATAATGTGTAATTCCAGAAAATATATAAATATACTGGCTATTCGCCCCGGAATTGCACGGGTGATTTTTGGCTCTCGACAACACACAAAAAATTTAATCAAAATTGGTCGGGGCGTTTTTGAGTTTTAGCGATGATAACCGTCTTTGATTGTACCGGAATCACATACCGGATACACCAATTGCATGGTAGATGCTTTAAGCAAAATGTAAAACTGTTTTCTGATGATTTTTGTGTCGTTAGCCTTTGGCTTTTACGGCTTCATCGGTCTCAGGCTGTAAAAAAAGGGATAAATTTAAATTATTCTACATCATTACTAGAGTAACGATGTACACCTACATCAGTTGAAGATGCACTTAAATGAGTTATCTAACGGCCATTCGAATAGGGGGTGGTGGGAACCAGTTCTGGCGGCTAACACGTATCATTTGATGTTTTGGGCGGTGATAACCGCCCAGGGACGCGGGTATACGGTAAATCACTTATTTCCAAGTATCACTTATTTCAAAGTAATTTCTCTAACATCACTGCACTGTACAATTACTTTCACAACGGAAGCACTGAAAAGTTCATTAATGGAGATGTCAAAAACATTCCAAAGTCAAATGGAGAACTTTCAACGGGAACTGCAACAATCTGGTTCTACTGCCACAACATCATCTTTCCTACCAGGTGATTTTAATGCTTGTATAAAATTCATCTTGGCTGCTTTAATATCTGTATATAACTAAGTAGATTTTTTATGAAGAAAACTCTATCGGAGTGAAATGGGTCGCCGCAGAAAGTTGATCCTACTCCATGGAGTTCCTGAAAAAAATCTGAGAATACTGCCGCCGTCACGTAAGTACACTTATCAGCACGAAACTACAAGTGTCAGGTTTCAG